GGTAAAAGGTAAAGAGGGTATACGTAAGGGAAAGGGATAAAGACTGCATGACACAAGCAATAAGGCAAAGTAAGGTCAAAAGCGCAGGTAAGGGTATATGTGAGTGCAGGAGAAAGGCTAGTTAGGCCTGTAAGATCTTAAACTGAGTATCAGGCACCAGGGGAGGGGGACTCCAGGTGAATAAGATCTATAGGGCAAAAGAAAGAGCAGGGCAAAGATTTTAGTCACGATACAGTGAATATAATACCTGGTAAAGTGATCTTGTTGTACTCCTCTGGCTGGTCAAGGTTCTCGATGTTGCTGTGCATGAACGACTTGGAAGTCTGACTGCCAAAATGTCTGTCCATAGAAGYAAAGATTTAATCAAATAGAAACAAAGATGTTCAAGACCTATCTTTCTTTTAGCAAGCACTGTAAGTATAAAAGGTTTTGCACCAACACGTGACAGCAGCCATGTTRGATGGCAGGAACGATACAACCGTTTTACATGAGAAAGAATTCAATTCCCAAAAACAACGAGATTCAATGGAYTCTTMGACGATGCGGCGGCCATTTTGAATCGCAAGGCATTTTGGGTCACCCAATGACGACCCCATGATATTTGAGAAATTTCCTCAGTCGTGGAACTGTTCATTTATTTGAAATCATCGCTTGTCAAATCATGTTGTCTTGTTATGAACCACAAATGTCAACTCTACGCCATTATTATAACAAAGCTTTGCATGTTTTATATTGTTCTGACCTCTAACATTTTCTGCCGGCAGATAATGGTGCAAAAACTTTGCCCTATATTATAGCGCCGCCTCTCTTTGCGGTTGTCTTTCCACGCGGTTCGATAAAATGTTTCTACCGTATTACCTGTTCAGCTGGTCGACACTTTCCCAAATCTCGTACAAAATGAAATTGTTGGTACCAGTGAATGATCGAACACACAGACTAAGAAAAGAAATCAATAAGATCAATCAATCAATCAATCAATCAGTCAGTCAGTCAGTCAATCAACGTACAACTCCAAGGAAAGAAAGAGATTGCTGAGATTCTTTTTGCACAGACTATCTCTTCATCCGTTGTATTCCAATTGAAATCCAATTTGGAATTTAGAAGTCGATTTTTTACAAGTCATTCCAGCTATTCTTGGATGTTGGAATCACCTGTTATCACATCTATCTCCTTTGACTCTAAAAACCATTTTTGAAATAGATGCGTACAGTTTGATGAATAATCACTGACTCACTGCAGACAGCCCTCTTGGAGGCTTGATGCACCAATGTACGCCTTCATGTTGGAGCGAAACTGGGACAAGCATTTCTCTGACACCTTGAATTTYCTGGAAACGATGACTGCCTAAATAAAACAGTAATATGCAGTAAAAAA